ACGCTTCCAGTCGCACTTCGCGTCGCTGGAAAGATGAGCACAGTTACGAGATCGCCCTGGGAGTCTGCGATACTCTGTCCTGAAGATGCACTCAAAAGGAGGGGAACTTTGATTTATTTTTATTTTTTACTTTGTAACATTCATTTCAAGGAGACGCATATTTTCTAAACATGATAATGAATAAATGGCTGACTAATAACGATGTGCAATTTTATTTAGATCATATAATAAAAAAAAAAACTGGACAGGAAAGGTGGTCACTCACCTAAGGGAAAAACACATAAGTGGCAAGATGCGAGTACACCACTGAGAAAATACCACAATAACAACACCTATCGATTTCAGTTTTAAACCCGAACCCACAACTTCGTGCTTCGAACCACCTACTTAGCAGAAACTTGCCATCTGGCGTTTCGCGTCTGATTCATATGTCGAGGAGGCTTCTTTACTTAGCAGAAACTTGCCATCTGGCGTTTCGCGTCTGATTCATTTGTCGAGGAGGCTTCTTTTATAAAAGAAGCCTCCTTGACAAATGAATCAGACGCGAAACGCCAGATGGCAAGTTTCTGCTAAGTAGGTGGTTCGAAGCACGAAGTTGTGGGTTCGGGCTTCGGGCGAATAAAACCCAAAACGTACAAGCCACAAGAAAGTATACTTTCTTGTGGCTTGTACGTTTTGGGCTTTATTCGCCCGAAGAATATTTTCCGCTCTTACCCTGCCAAACAAGAACACGCTTTCCCCGGGACGATTGATACCCCTGCATTCTTAACATTTTCTAGCGAGAGCGATTTTGGCAAGATAGAAACGCTCTAAAGTAATCCTTGCTAAGAATCGGGTTTTTTTTTTTAGCATAAAGAATAATTGTCTCCCAGATTTGTACCTTTTTTTTCTAGAGAGTACTTTGCTCTCGCAAAACATTCGATGATGCATTTCATAGCATCACTCACTCGTTCATTTTACACTCTGCGGTCTGACATACCTATGGACCGCCTCGGCAAAAACATGTACAGTAGAACCTCGATCGTTTATACGTTTTTCAGGGGACCGAGTAAATAGAACGTACGATCCGGGAAAATGCAAGAAACGAGAACGCCATTCAGGGGGCGCTAGAGATGCGACAGATGGTCTGTTACGAACCAATTTATTTTACATATACATTCGTAAGTGTGAACTCACATTGGCACAGCAAACGTTTGTAAACATTCGTCTGTGTGAACTTGAATACGTTCAGAAAAGGCTCGTAATTTCCACCTGTCGCTTTGTGCGACCAATACGGGCGAGCGACAAAGTCCTGGGCTTGCGGAGGACCAATGTTCTCGTCGGTTCCTCAATACGCAGTCGTATAGCAACCCAAAACTACTCAAAAGGTCTTGCTGGACGACAGCCTGTGGCGTACGTGCAGGAGATTGCGGGGTGCTGGTCGAGTTTTGACAGAAGCTTCTTTGCACGGTCCCGGAGGAATACCAGAACCTCCAGTGCGTCAGCTGGGCGAAGTTCTTGCAGCTTTCCTCACGTCTCGAACCAAGAACCACGCGACCACACGGACCAGCAAAATAACAAAAATAGAACAAAGCACAATGATGCCCCATCTTCGTGTTGATTCTTAAAGAGATACTGACGATATTTATGCTCGCCAAGGGTTTTATTTGTACAAGACATATGAGAGCCCAATTACCCAGAACACAATTTGCTGCTCGAAATTCGTTTTCTTTCCGCCCGAAAACCGCCGATCGAGAACTGGCCGGTTAGAGTCGAGCTTACTCTATTCTCCGTGGTCACGTGCCGTTGTCTATGGTTTAGACACAACCACGAAAGATAATCAAAGTCGTGCGTCATCGAAGGCACACACTCATTACTAGAAATGGACAAAGAAAGATTATACCTATTTGTTTTTGTGGGTTCTAAAAAATAAAAATACGTTAACTGAAAAAAAAAAGAAAAAAAAAAGAAAAAAAGTTGCACGGCAATTAATTCGGGTATCTTTCTTTATATTTCTACCTCCCCAGTCCAGTTTTTGTTTTGGTTTAAAGCTGGGAGAAATCCCGGGGATTTCTCCCCGGCACGAGCATCCCGCGACGAAAACGTCAAGCTTTACGATGTGCAAAAGCCTCGCGTTTTCGTCTCGTGATGCGCGCGTGCCGGGGAGAAATCCCCGTGATTTCTCCCTCGAGTGAATACCCCTTTATGACTTTGTTAAAAATATGTGTGACACTGCAGCTAAATTTTGATGAGGTTGTCCTTTGACACCATAATAAATCGCCTGGTAAAGAAAATAAATACTGGGAAGGGAAGGTGGGGTGTCAGTATCCCTTTAAAAAGAAATACATTTTTCGTTGCCAGACTACACCTGTGATGCGTAGTTTGGTGTAAAAAGATTTGCGAGTAGAAAAGCGCCCGGCTTTTTCTGTCCACGCTTTTCACAGATTTTTGGCAGGGTTTTCTCGAAAACTGTTCTATCTCGCAGGTTGACCTTTTTGTTTGACAAGCAAAAAAAACGATAATGCATTGTTTCATTCTTTCCTTTTGTTCGTTCGTTGGTTCGTTTTGACGCGGGATTCTTGGTTCCACGCACTAATCTCTGTGACAATAGCTGGATCGCGGTTCTCCGCTCGATCGCTGCAGCGCGAGGGAAGCCACCGGACGGCCATCTTGCTCGCAGACAAATTGCGGTTTTGCTAGCGTTGCAGAGGCTGGCGGCAGCGTGCTGAAGACAAAGTTTTCTATTTGTTCGTCATCAGTTGCCGAAGAATTTTTTAAGGCCCCGTGTAAGTGTTGAGACTTGCCATTGATAACACGTGGAAATTTTGACGAAAGCGCAGTGCCGCAGGAAAAAAAGGCACGACAGGACGAAAGCAAGTTTCGTCGGTCTCGCGGCGTGATCAAAGCTTCATTGGCACGCCGAAGTGCTGCATCTGTGCGCTTTCGCACGCTTGGATAGCGATCAAGATTCGACGCCGTGTAGATGTGTTTTGCGAGTGCAATGGGCCTGAGGCCATATGTGGCTCTGGAGTAGCGTTTTACTTTACTCTGACGACTATTTGTAACTTGCGGCACTCGCATTCTAGAAACGAGCTTGATCCAGCGCCCAGTGGCGACGGAAATGGTGGTTGGGGGGGGGGGGGGGGGGGGGGTTACGCCTTTTTTTTTTTTTTTGTCGTTCGACGGTTTACAGAATACCGCGCCAGAATACCAGACCACTGATCATCACTGCTCAGTGGTCTGGCTCATCATCAAACGTAAGAAAGTTTGAGCGGGGCTGCTCGCTTAATTGTGATTGGTCAACAGAGTGCGCACGACCCTATGGGCCGCGCTTCAAAGATTTTTAATCTCGCCGTCTTGTGCTTTTTCCTTCGAAAACCCTCCCTGCTTCACAGCGTTGCTTTATTTGTGCTGCCATGTAATCCATTAGAGTAGATTTGGAACATAGCCATGGTTAATAGTGCATCAGCATCTGATTTGCAATCCGCCAAATCCGATTCATTTTTATCCGCATTCGACAATTGGCCGAGGATATTCGTGGATTATCCTCGGATATGCGGATATGCCGTGCGACATTGGTGTTTTACTTTGTGTTTCACCGAAGAAACCAACCATTTTCATTACCATTTTCCACGAATAGGTTTCCTCAACGGGTGATCTTTTTGTTTGATGTATTTTGATGCAACCCATCATAGGATAAATATATAAAGCTCAAATTTCGTATGGTATCATCTCATAGTGCCACGAATATATAATATACCTTGAAATTTTCATATGAAATGGCAAAGCGGTTCAAAAGTATGTACTCTAGAGTAGTGTCCACCCTTAAACCGAGTGTGACACTTGAGACAAGTTAGATTACTTTTAGAACACACAAGGAGAGGCGCAACTCAAGCATGGTTAACCCCTTGGCTGCGTCGTCGCCCTTGACCACCATGCCACATTTCTATCGGACTGTTCAATCAACCTCAGTGGACTCTTTCTTCTAAATCCATCCTGAGGAATGGGTGAATGCAATAAAATATGCATATCCAACTAGCCCAGCTCAATATCTTAGTGCAATCATAGCTTTGCTGATATATGCTGATATGGAGTGGGCACAGAGGAGCGGCGGCTATGCGGTCGCTTCAAAATCCCTTCTGCTTCATTCTGCAGATTTTGGCCTTCCTTGGGACAGGGCTACCTCCTCCTCGACAGCCAGCCACCATCTCTGCACCGTCATCATGCACTGTATTCCTGGCGGCTATCGGTGACCACATCGCGCCCGTGTTCGATGCCACAGTTTCGTCCCTCCCCTTCACCAAGCCAGCATCATCGTCAACGACAGCAGGATTCTCTGCGAATTTAAGCGCCTGGTCACCGCAGGACGCTTTCAGTGGGCACAGAGGAGCGGCGGCTATGCGGTCGCTTCAAAATCCCTTCTGCTTCATTCTGCAGATTTTGGCCTTCCTTGGGACAGGGCTACCTCCTCCTCAACAGCCAGCCACCATCTCTGCACCGTCATCATGCACTGTATTCCTGGCGGCTATCGGTGACCACATCGCGCCCGTGTTCGATGCCACAGTTTCGTCCCTCCCCTTCACCAAGCCAGCATCATCGTCAACGACAGCAGGATTCTCTGCGAATTTAAGCGCCTGGTCACCGCAGGACGCTTTCAGTGGGCACAGAGGAGCGGCGGCTATGCGGTCGCTTCAAAATCCCTTCTGCTTCATTCTGCAGATTTTGGCCTTCCTTGGGACAGGGCTACCTCCTCCTCGACAGCCAGCCACCATCTCTGCACCGTCATCATGCACTGTATTCCTGGCGGCTATCGGTGACCACATCGCGCCCGTGTTCGATGCCACAGTTTCGTCCCTCCCCTTCACCAAGCCAGCATCATCGTCAACGACAGCAGGATTCTCTGCGAATTTAAGCGCCTGGTCACCGCAGGACGCTTTCAGTGGGCACAGAGGAGCGGCGGCTATGCGGTCGCTTCAAAATCCCTTCTGCTTCATTCTGCAGGTTCGTAAATACCTATCTTTTCACGTTAAACGATCCTGTAATGGCTTTCTGCTGCTCCTCCAGTGCCCGCTGGTTTTTCTTAGAATTGCTTATATGTGTGTTCACGTTTTTAAGTTACTTTTGTTGTCTGGGGACGTTGAATTAAACCCCGGCCCTATCACTAACGCTGATATTCTGGCTGCCATTGCTGAACAGTCTTCTAAAAACGATGCGCGTCATACCGAAATGGTTGACATGCTAAAGCAGGTCAAAGATAACCAGCATCAGCTAGAACTAAAAGTGTTAGACATCAATTCAAGACTTGCAGCAGTCGAATCACTTGTAGAATTACTAGATGTGCCAAAGCATCCTACTGAACTGTCTAATGTTGTTAGTGAGGCCGTCCGAGGCGAAACTACCGTTCTGAATTCAAGACTTAATGAGCTTGAAGATAGATCCCGTCGTGACAATTCACTCTTCTACGGTATCGCCGACACCCTTTCCGAAGACTGGTCGCAGTCAGAATCTCATATCCGCGATAATCTTTCCACAATATTAGGACTAGATCTACCTGGCGAGGCAATATCCCGTGCTCATAGATTAGGCTCATACTCAACTAATAAATGCCGGCCAATAATTGTTAAATTCTCTTCCTCTAAATTCAAGGCGAATGTGTTTTCTCAGCGTTTTAAGTTGAAAGGAACAGGAATTTCAGTCAGTGAGGATTTCTGTCCGGCTACGCGGCAGTTACGTAAAAAGTTAATTGATTTCGGTAAAGGCACCGGTCAGAGGTTCTCGCTCAAACTAAACAGGCTGCACGTTAATCAAAAGGTGTATACTTACTGCCCCGTAACAGATTGTGTTTGCGAAGTGACTCCTAGTCACGCTCGTGAAGCTAACAACGCCGCGTCTCTCCCTCCGGGTGCCAATAATACAGTTTCCGCGCTGCAACCGGGCACCGATAACGCAGTTTTCGCACCTGGTCCAAGCAATTATAATTCACACGCGTCATCAACATAACTATGTAAAGGCCCGGCGACTAACGCTATCTCAATATTGTATTCTAACGTGCGAAGCGTGTGCAACAAACGCGACGCTTTGTCATCTCTTATCGACACGTGTACAGCTGATATTGTTATCCTGACCGAAACGTGGCTTTCTAGTAAAATTGCTGACAGTGAAATTTTTGAGTGTGAAGGTATGTACAAATTTTATCGTTTCAATCGTGACTCGCGCTCAGGTGGCGGTGTTCTTATCGCTGTTCGTGATTCTATAATATCGAGCGTTATACCACTTAACCTATCATTAGAGTTCGTGTGTGCCCGTGTACATGTCAGAAACAAGGATTTTATTTTTTGCGCCTGCTATCGACCCCCCGCTTCGTCTAGTACATTTTGCTCTGAGCTTCACGATGTCTTAAATAGATTGGTAGTACGGTTTCCTTCTTCGTCTTTGCTTCTTCTGGGGGATTTTAATTTTCCCACAATTAACTGGAAAAGTGACACCCCCACAGTAAGTGATCACTCATTACAGGCTCTTTCGTTTCTAAGCCTTTGTCTTGATTTTAATTTAAAGCAACTTGTACAAGAGCCTACACGATGTTCATCTCATTCTTCCAATGTATTAGACCTCATTCTCACTACAACCCCTGAGCTTGTGTCTCCCTTAACATACTTACCAGGTTTAAGTGACCATTGTGTTATTCAGTTCGACCTGCAGGCATCTGCTTCCTCATATAAAGCATTTAAGATTATTCGTGACTACAGAAATGCCGATTTTGTTTCAATTAATAATGAATTAGACACGTTTCTAACTGATTACATCTCACGTTTTCATACGCGGACGGTTGAAGAAAATTGGTCTCTCTTCAAGCAAAAAGTGAGTGACCTAACTGACCAGTACATCCCTCTGAAGCGCATCCGCTCTAATTCACAGGCACCTTGGTTTAACGCACGCCTTAAGCGTCTGCGAAATAAAAAGAAACGGTTATTTCGGCGCGCAAAATTCACAAAAAGTGCTGAGCGCTGGGACGCTTACGAAGCTGCTGATACGGAATATAAACAAGCTGTCGCACAATCAAAGCAGGAGTTTTATCAGTGTACACTTTTTTCTCTTTTAAAAGATAACCCACGAAAGTTTTGGAGCGTGGTCAGCGGTAGTAGATCCAGTGCGGTTGAGCTTTGTGATGCGAATAATGTTCCTGTAGATCTAAACGATTGTTGCAATGTCCTGAATGATGTGTTTGCTTCTTATTTTTCCCACACGACTCCTACCTGTTACCCCATTGTTTTCAGCCCTAATTATAGTCCTATGTTTCCTGTTAGTATTGATTCATTTGGTGTCGACTGTTTAATCCAGAAGCTTAAAATTTCTGCGTGTGCTGGGATTGACGGAATCAACTCAAAATTCCTGAAGAGCACCGCCACCTATTCATCTTTGATTTTTTCCGAAATTTTTTCACAGTCTTTGCAGTGTTGCACGTTACCCAACGATTGGAAGGTAGGGAAGGTGGTTCCTTTGCATAAATCAGGTACTGCTCACTCCCCACTTAACTACAGGCCCATATCATTGACTAGTGTGCCGTGTAAATTACTTGAACATATCATTTACTCTCACCTTGTTGCCTTTCTCGAGTCCAATTCTTTTTTTACTAATTGTCAACACGGGTTCCGAAAATTTTTTTCTTGTGAAACACAGCTCGTATCGTTTACTAATGACCTGATGGTTGCCATTGATGCCGGGCTAATAGTTGACTGCATTTTCTTAGATTTTGCTAAGGCTTTCGATTCTGTCTCGCACGACCTACTTCTCTTGAAACTGAGTAAACTTAATATCGATCCTAACATCTTGGGCTGGATTAAATGTTTTTTATCTAACCGCTCACAATATGTTTCTGTCAATGGGCATGATTCTTCTACTACTCCTGTAACGTCCGGGGTACCACAGGGATCTGTCCTAGGGCCTCTCTTGTTTTTAGTCTACATTAACGACCTCCCATCGCAAATTGTCTCCTCTATTAAATTGTTCGCGGATGACTGTGTACTTTATCGCGTAATTACTAATGCTCAAGAGTGTGCTATACTACAGTCAGACCTCGACGTAGTTTCTTCTTGGTGCGCTGAATCCCTAATGAAGCTTAACGTTACTAAATGTAAAAGCATGCGTGTTTCGCGACTCTCTAAAAACACTGACCCTGCCATATACATACTTAATGATATACCATTAGATGTTGTTGCTTCATACAAGTATCTTGGTATTCACATAACTCATAACCTTTCCTGGAACATGCACGTCGACTATGTCTCTAATAATGCTAATCGTATGCTTGGGTTTTTGCGGCGCCATTTTCGTTCCGCTAATCTTCCCGTCAAACTGCAATTATATAAAGCCTTAGTCAGGCCAAAACTCGAATACGCCTGTTCCGTTTGGGATCCGGGTCATGTTACATTATCACACATTCTCGAATCAGTCCAGAACCGAGCAGCCCGTTTTATCCTTTCTAATTATTCTCGTACTGCTAGTGTTTCATCAATGAAGACAACTTTGGACTTACCTGACCTTGCTTTACGCCGTAAATACTTTCGTCTTTGTCTTTTCCATAAAGTCTATTATTCTAATCCAATTCTAAAAGATCAACTACTTTTTCATCCGTCATATGTGTCACCTCGCCACGATCACCAGTGTAAGGTTGGCACGCCGACATGTCATACGAACATCTATTTTGACTCCTTTATTCCAAGAACATCTAGCGAATGGAACCACCTCCCTGCCTCCATCGTGTCCATCCAGGACGTCACATACTTCAAGAAGCTTGTCAACGATTTCATCTGTACCACCCACTCGTCTCTGTAGAGCCTCCGGGCATTGAGAGTATGAAAATAAATAAAAAAATAAATATATATCAAACTACTGAAACTACACAAGCTGGTCAAAGCAATCCCAGATTTCTTACTCCAACGCCGGTTGCTTCTTAGGGCTTGGGCTTTTTTTTAGGTTCCTCGACGAATCCCGTTTTCATCATTGTCAAAAATGTCCCGAGAACATTGAGACCTCTCATGATCAGCGGCGTGCCCACAGTCGTATTCATGCCTCGTTTGTGTTCAGGATAGTAGTCATTTCGACAGTCTATTCAATGAGCTCGAATTCCTAGACTTACTGACTAGCCTTCCAGCTAGTTGCTTTTCCACAGAATATATTGCTGCTGTAAATATCTTTATCCATCACATACGAAATATTTTGTATCATTTGGCATATACAAAAGAAAAAAGCAAACTTCCGTGGAGCATTTGAAACTGGTGGTGCAGGTGGCACCAAAGAATGGGTCTCGGACCCTTCGCCTTCCTCATGCTCTCCTACCACTGCTATTGCTGTTCATGATGAATGCTAAATTGTCAGAGTCGTATTCTCCATTGCTGCCAAACACACAATCAATGATTACACTGCTGGAGAGACTTCTACTCTTCCAAAACGCCATGTTCTAATAAAAAAAAATATTTTTTTTCTTTATTTTTAAATGTGCATAAAAATATGAAACACAGGTGTCAAAAGTACTAACCAAACCACAAATCGTGTACAAGGTTCGCCACATACCGGCCTAGTTAAAAGTCAAACGTATAAACAGAGACCGGCGAATTGCCGGCTTCGTGCACTTATCCCTAAGGCCCTCTTCAGACGGGGCAACTTTTCCAGCAATTTTGAGGTTGCTGGCGGGTTGTTCCCTAGCTTTCCCTCGATCGACAATCGACACGAATTGCTGAGATCGGGTCCGGCTCGAAACGGACGAGCAAGTCGAGCAACTCGTAGCCGTTTGAAGCGGCAGCAGCCAATCAGGGACGCGATATTTTCACATGACACCCCCGTGGTGGTGATGATGACAGCTAAAGACTTGGTTCTGGTTTGAAATCGATCGTTTTTGGAAATAAACCTTTTCAGAAAGATGAGTTAGTATTCTCCAACGCCATTCAAATATATAAATACACGTTTTTAGCGCGTAGCTGGGCGTCTAACTAGTGAAAGAAAATTAAAAGTGAATGATGATGATAGCAGGTCGTAGCAATTCGGTTGCTGCGTGTGATCGCGGACGGCCCGTGTTGCTGGTGTTGCGACGTCAAGTTGCTAGGTGAAATCGCTCCGCCTGAAGCGGGCCTAAGGCGACCGGTGGATCAGCGGCTTCGGAAGCCAACAGGGTAAAGCCTGTCTCAACTTGCAAGTGAATGCTCTATCCGTTCCTTTCACTGATAAAAAAACGAAAATGGGGAGTTCACATGACAAACCAACAAGAATATCTAGCATGCCCCAGCAAAGGACTGAAGAATAAATTCTTCTCAAGTGCAGCAGAAATCTCAACAAGCCTCCATCAACTTCTGGGAACCTCCGCTCGAAAAAAATCGGCCAACCAAAGAATCCAAGAGCCAGCACCTTGCATCGGAACCACCGAGGCGGCAAATATCACTCGTTGCATTCTTCGGCAAATCTTAATGCGAAAGCATGAACTGTCCCATGGAGCGGAGCCCGGCGTTGTCTGTAGTAGCGAAACGGCACCTAAACTCCCAATGGCTGCTACGCGTCATGTGGCCCCATAGCAACGGCGTCATCGTTGCTAAGGAGCAAGCCGAAATTCTGGTGGCGCAGTGCAAAGAATAAAAACACGTCAAAAATATCTCAAGGAGGTTCCAGTAAACAACAAAAATTAATGGCTTTGAAAAGCAAATTCCGTGCATTTCTATATGGGTGGGAATCGAACCCGGGCCTCCTGAGTGCGAGCCGAGCACGCTTCCCGCAACGCCATGGCGGCTCCACGGTTCCGGCTGACTAAAGCTATGCCTAGTGCATGTGTCATGCCCTTTCGCCTTCCCACACGTAAACAATCTTTAGTGCCTCTGCGGATTTTTTTTTTCTTTTTTCACGTGCAATACGCACAGATTTTACACATCGCAGACAAGCAGAAACAGAAATCTTCCTACTTCAGGGTTCAGAGAAACCCCAATGAAAATTCTGCAGCATTGTCGGTTGAACGAACAAATTTGTCAAAAGGTCCCACAAACAAAACAGCAGAAACACTCACGTGCTTAGTGTTTGGGAAGTCAAACAGGTACTGCATGATTTTCTGTAAAAGCAACAAACACGCTATAAAAGGGGGGTTCACGGGTTGGAGCGATGGGGGCACAAGGGTAGGAAAAGATACTCACGGCCGTGTATGCATAGTCACTATTGGTGAGCAGGAACAATTTCTTGTCGTGAGAACGCATCCTGCAGAGAAGTGTGAAACGAGGGTCAACATTTTTACAGCCCACTGGAAGCACAGACTTGCCTATCCAGGAGCAGAGGTAGCCTCTCGTCCTTTTCCAAATACTTGTCTAGGTTGTTCACTGTTGCCGTTTTTAGTTGGCCCTGAAACAAAGCAGAGAATCCTAATTATTCATTGCGTGCATGAGCTGTACTCGTTCAAGGGTCGCATTCCCATTTTTACAACATAATTGAAAAAAAAAAAAAAATTTAGTGGAGCTAAATTTTCCCTTTTTTTAAAGCGCACAGACTGCATCCACGGTGTGGCATGTGCTCCGCTCTGCGTCTCTATGCTTCTCGACCATGTCCTCCACGACTTTACTTCCGTTTTCTGCCGTGTATTGTCGCGGAGAGAATGATTATGCGAGTAAAGCTTTAGGAAGCTGTCCTTCTCATGCTTTCCATATCATCCTCAGTCGCCTCTGGTCCACGCAACAATAGCCCCTCCGAAATTGGGCGTTCAAATTTCCGAACGTCGCATTTAGGCTTTGCAAAAGTTTCGTTCTTCTAAGTTGGTTTATGCATTTCTCGCAGCCTGACAGCAATGGGCAAGTACTTTTGAAAGGTCACTTATACTGTGGAGCGATGCAGACGTAAAACGGGGTGGGTATTCAATGTCGACAAGATATTCGCACAATGCTAGCGACAAGCAAGGAAAAGTGCACAGTCCGGGGCAGGCCCAGTGGTATGCTGCGGCCGCTCCACCTCGCCGCCGAAAAGTTGCCAGACGTTCATTCGCGTTACAAATGACTAACACAAACACCCAAAAGGAGCTAACTAGATGACTCCGAAGAGCCATCCACCCGAGCGTCGAGGATACCGCAGGTTGCAACAATTGAGACCAAAATAAAGCTGTTCCAGCGCACTGCGTCTCACCTCAAGTACATCAATTTTTTTATGCACACCTTTAACCCTTCGCCTGCTCATTTTTTTTTCCCTTCGAGGAGCGTACAACAAAATTTTATTTTAAACGGAGAATTTGCACTAAAATAAGACAAAAACATTTTCTTGACTTCCAGGTGTGATATCTTGCTCTAAATCAGAACTTCTGGTCAGAGTCCCACTGATGTGCAGACGCCGAAGTTAATGGAATGCTTGCTGGATGCACATTGTTTTCATCCCTCCTGCAACTGTCCATCAAAGTATCGTCCGATTCCTAAAAATCGGAAAGGCTGAAGGATTCCTCGCCACGTATGCCCGAGCATTAATCCTTTTCAAAAAGAAGGCTTTTGTATTTCTTTCTCGGCTAAAGCGGACATCCGCACCAAAGCTACATTGTTTTAGCGTGAACGCTCACGAGTGACTGCTTTGTTTTTCTTGGCTAAATGGAGAATTCTCTCCCTGTCAAGCAGAAAAACAAACGAGGAAACTACCCAAGGTAAATGGAACAATATATTTTGTTTTCCATCTGCCAGAGAGTGCACTAAACAAACGCCGAAGCCGAAACGCGAGTCGCACTCGTGGTCGGGCTTTATGATCTCTAAGGGGTGTCATAAGTGACACTCATTAGTAGGCAAGGGGTTAACCATTTCCTTCTTATCCGCTTTAGGGCCACATATCGAATATTAACCAAAAACTTCGCAAGCGTGGCCCTTACACGTTTTTTGTAATGGTACAGTCGCAGGGTAGCCTGGTGAACACTTAGTAATTGTAAGCAGTGAGAGAGTGCAGGCGAGCTGGTGATTAATCAACATCTTATAAACCCTGAGATGGGGAACGATAAAAAAACGGACGAACACAACAAAAATCTCAAACGCAGGCAAGGAAGGAAGAGAAATGGAACAACCCAGCTGCGTTTCAGATTTTTGTTGTGTTCGTCCGTTTTTTTATCATTCCCTATCTCAGGGTTTACAAGATGTCGCTTAGTAATGTTTGGGCCAATTTAGGCAGACGAGCATAACGGCCATAGCATAAGAACGTTCAGAAATGAGGGGGTGGGAATACAAGCTCTAAAACAGACAGCACAGCACTATACTCCCAGTCCTATAGGCATCCACTATTAGAAGCAAGAGTCAACCGCACAAATAATACTAGTAAAATAATATATAAGTTGCTTCACAATAACCAATTCCTGATTCTGACTTACGAACATCGGCCTCCAATGTTATTTTAACGACGCGAGGCGCCGAAAACCACCTTTCTGCCCATATCCATCCATATGAATGAAATCTCGACATATTTTTGTGACAATTATGGGCAAAAATATTATAAAACTTTGTTCCATCTAAATAGAAAAAAAAAGCTCTCTTTTCTTTACGAACTCCCAACGACTGCAGCGCTTGAGTAGAAAAGCAAACATATCGGTATAATGACGTGGAGGACATCCAACAGTGCCGCCGGAATGGGAAGAGGCAATCCCCCCCCCCCCCCCCCCCCCCCTCTACAGATATTTCAAAACTTTAATATAATCGATACGGGGGAAAACATGTGACCATGTTTAAACATTCATCTTTGCCATTTGAAGTGTTAAAACAAGGTCTTTCCACATCGGATCATACAAGGATGGTTTGGGTCATATTTGTTTATATTTATGTAAAAGAATATATTATGTGAAAGCCTTGTTTTTAGGAGTTTGGGAGCATTCAGCTATATGTAAACATTGAAGCTAATTTTCTATTGTAGATATTGCCAAAGTTTCACTGTGGTACTTTGCACAGCCGTCAATTTCAAACCATAGCATGCACATAGTAATACTGTCCAGACGGTTATAATGAAGTCAACGGGAATCGGAAATCGCTTCGCCTATATCCATATCCGATTCTTCGTTATATATATCAACTTATACAAATAACACGAAAAAAATAAAAGATAACACGGGTGTCCCGGGCACATGTTAGTCGGACCTGCAGAAAGCGGTCGAGGCTTCCCTGCACGCGTTCTTTGATAGATCAGAGCCGCTTCTCGCCAACTGCCGAGAAGCTCCTATCGATAAAAGATCCCGCTAAGTACGGACCGTGTTGACAGCCGCGACGGCCTGCGAAGACGCCGGCGGTGGACGGCATTTCTACGTTTATGCGCACTCCGTCGAGGATGGCACGCTTTTGATTCAAGATTGCCTTCGTCTTCCCCGTCGAGGTGCCGGCGGTGCCGGGACTCTCCAACGTTGAGTGGCGATGATTTGCCAAATCGGTTCTTCAGCGAAGTAGACTTTCGCGCAAGAGCTACCTCACCGACCAGACGCCGACACAGATCACGAAGTAAACAAAGAAGCGCTCACGGCACCGAGTTGGCGCTCAAGCTTGTCTGTCGTCGGTAGAGAGAGCCCGGATTTAAGAGATGGGGCAACTGCTCGATTGGAGTCACGTGCTTTGTGGGCCGCGTTTGCATAACGAGCTGCAGCATGCAAGGAGTCAAAACTCAAAAGCGTTCACCTTCTGCAAACACGTCCGCATCTCCGCCCAGTTTCCCCGCCACACTGGCCACGCGACAATCCAACGCAGGCGTACTTACTCTCTCCCCCTCTTAAATCTAGGCTCTCTCCGTCATCTCCGCCAGTACGTTGTCGCTAGCGCTCCGAACGCCCCTATCGGCATGCCACGAAGGCTTATCCACGTGCGATGCGGTAAAGCCTCTTCCCAGATGAGGAGCGGGGAGCAGACTATGTTGCAGAGACCAGACTTAGTCACTTAGTCCAAAGAAACAATACTACCATACAACAATACTTGGACTAAGTGAGTTATTAGAGGAAACGCATATTTGAAGGTCAAACCCTTTCTTTGTGTTCAGTAGTGGTTCACCTACGTTCGCCGGGTGACGGTGGTTATGCTAGAATGTGACCCTTTACAATTGAAAACGAGCGTGTTGGTTAATAGATACAAAACTTGAAAGCATAAAACAGAGAGGACGAGGACGGGAACAGGACATCTTTCATTTAGCAACAACATAGAAGAAACATAGAACAACAACATTTGCCATGGGGACTGTTAACAACATTTCTGCACCGTCATTATCATTGACAAAGACAGAGGTCGAATTCTTAACACCAGAGATGACTAGAATATTGACACCTCGTCGTGACGCTACAGATTTTTAAACTCTTATATTTATAGTACAATTCTCTTTTTGGACTGCAAACAAGAATAATTCTGCATTATCACTGACAATGACCAAGGTTAATTCTAACTAATCGAAAATAACTAGATTACTGATGCGCTTTTCAAACTTTTATTTTAGTGTATTCCCTTTCCTTCATAACTAGTATCTCCTTTGCCTCTTTGAGAACGTTGAGACCCTTGGGGGGCGGTTTTTTTATCGTTGTGCCATTCTATGTTGTTGCTAAATGAAAGATGTCCTGTTCCCATCCTCGTCCTCTCTGTTTTATGCTTTCAAGTTTTGTGACCCTTTGTGTGAGTGTTTCGCAGGCAAGGTCAAGGACGATAAGAGAAGGTTTACCCAAACTTCATTGTCCTCTTGTCATTTTTTTTTTTTTTTTTTTGTAGAGACAGCGTTGGAGTTGTGGTATATAGGGCGTGTCCGAAATAAACTTTGCAGCTGAGTTTGAGACGTTGCCTCCTCTTTTTCTACCTTGTGTTGTGTTCTCTTTTCTGCCCCAGTCTCAGGTTTACAATCATGTTCAACTTACACCAGCTCGCCTGCACTCTGACTATTTTTTCAAAACAAACACTGGCCGGCGGCGCCCAAGGGATACCAAGGGCACCGCTCCCCGGTCCTGGGGGGGCGGTCTGGTTTGCCCCCCCCCCCCCCCCCCCCCCAATCAAAAACAAGTTGGTACGCCACTGCCCACGTTCCTACGCCGCGATAGAGTCAATGCTGTCTAGGTTGTCCCTAGGAAGGCTGTGAATACCAACTTTCTCGTAGACTCGTCGTTTGTGGAAGTTATCAGTGACGACAAAGTGACTTTTGACAACTTCAGGAAGGGGTGATTTAAGGCCAAAATCTTTCTACGAATCAAGGCGAAAATTAAACTTTTTGATATGGCGCTCATCTTACACTATTGTCAGCAACGCTACCGGTGTGACCGAGAGACAGTGTGGGTAGTAGTGCCGGAAGCGTTGGAGGTCAGGGTGTGATGGGGGATGGCTAGGGGAAACCGGTGGTGGGGGAAAAGCCTGCGGGGACCCGGGAAAAGAAGATAAAAGGCATGT